GGATCTCATCTTGTTCAATGTGCACAAGAAGTCAGCAACATAAGACTTCAGGAGAATCATACATAACTAGAAACAACAAAATCAATAATGAAAGGTGTAGTATCTGTTCCTATCAGTTTAACAACAAAATCAACAATGTAATAAGCCACAGTTTCTTTTACAAGTCTCAATTACCTTTAGCCCAAAAACCACAGCTTGCCAAAGAGCAAGAGACTCCTAATAAGCTTTCTTTGGTTTTAACTTTTAATACAACTACATCATGGTTGTCAAACTGCATTGAAAATTAATAAACATATATAACTTCAAAATCTATTTGACTACGGGAAAAGTGGCTTAGAAACAAGACAAAAGAAAAGGCATGCACCATCATTTGCATTGGATGGAGCAATTTAATAGTGATTGCTATGAGATATTTGATGCACGTTTCTTGTTAATTTCATTGAAAAAAAAAAAGATTAAGCCTGAGCGTACAAGTAATGGAAAATAGCAAGATGTAATGTGATTAAAAAATCATAATGTCTAGAAAATGGCAGAATCAGAACTCATTTAATGTCTTTGGACCTTAGAAATGTAAAGAATAATCACATTCAACATGATACCAAACTTGAGTAAGCAAAATTCAAAATATTGCACCAAAACCATAAAAAATGTAAGAGCTACCACCACTACTCATTTGAGTCCTACCTTGTCAGCTGGAAGAACATCACCTTTGCTGGATTGAACTAGAAGTTTTTTCACGAAAAGCCCTGTCTACTTTGAATGCCTAATGCTTAATAAATTATAAAATACCTGAGTGATTTTATATTTCATTTTGGTAAAAACAGAAAAGGAAAAAAAAAAAAGAAGAGGTGTTTATAGAAACTGACATGTGAAAATCATGCATACTTGAGCTGAATAATTATGCAGAATCCTTTCTATTTCAAATCCACGCATGATTCATATACTAAATATACGATCTGAACATCAACACACTTAAAAAGTCAGAATACATAGTGAATTCCATGTTTTGAGCAGTATCCAAATCTCTTGAAGAGCCTGAGAAGATATACGCTGATTTCTCTACTTCCTTACACAATTAAATACAAAAAAATATTGGCAAATCCCATCAATTTCTCCTACCCATTGTCTCATTTTGCAGTTCAATGGTAAGCAATCACCAGGAAAGCATTACACTTAACAAAAATAAATAAATAAATAAATAAATAAAACAATATGTGCATTTTCATTAATGATTTTTTCTTTTTGACCTTTTGGTACTGAATGACTGATAAGATGATTTACAGAGACACCCATTTTTGGAATGGTGATAATATTATATTAATCAAAACTTTAGATCAAATAGTAATCAAAAGTGAGATGAACTGTTGGAGAAAAAACCTCGTCCAAATTGATTAAAGGAGTCAGTGATGGTGGAGATGAAGTGTTACAGAC